TGCTCTGCTGCGGAGGTCTTGCTGAACTGCTGAAACCAAACCATCCCCTCGAGGGATTCTGATTTGCAGCGCATATTTTTGCAATATCCTAAAAGCACCGTAAATTTTTGACAATAAGTAAAAGCGGCGGTTGGATTGCGTAAGAAAATAAATATCACAAACATTTTGGAATAACCACAATTCGTCATCCTAACTGGCCAAAAACAAAACTGATTTTAACTTAACTCCTGCGAATATCCAAGGATAGATGCCAGTAAGACAGCGATTTCGGGCTGCTTGTCCTTTTCAGCCGTAAAATACGATAAGAACAACTGTCGCAGTACTTGCGCATCGATGGCCTTTGATGATGATGCTTCCGCCATATGCGTATGCTCGTCCAAGTTCGTTTCCAGCTCCTCAATCACCTAGCAACAGAACACGCTCTTTCTGATATCAGAGATACGTTAAAACAATGGGGAAAACAGTACCACGAGCATCATTTTAAAATCCTCTGAGCCTATACATCTCAGCTTCGTTAATACAGCTACACGTTTCCAAATAAAATACAGTCAACAAGAGGTGAGAACTCACGGTATCCTTTCTTTTGATTTCTTCCCTCAGATGTATAGTACCATCCTCTAATGACTGCTTCTCGGCTTCGAGAGAGTCTTGAACCTTTCTTAGTTGTAATATTTCCGAGCCCAAATGCTGAAAATCAGTTAAATGCGTTGATGCAGGAGAAATCTTTGATGCAGCTCAGCCAGTGATCGTTGTTCAAGAAACAAAAACAGCGAAAGAGCGTGAACAATGGAGTTAATTCAGAAAAAATTGCATGGGCTGACTTCGATCGTTTGTTTCAGCTCAGCAATGCTGTTTTCGTATTCGGCAACTTGCGCTTGATGGTCAATGCCGATATCTCGTAGAACATTTTGTAAATTCGAAAGCGCTGTCTTCGTATCGGCAAGTGTTTTTTCGCGTTCGCGTAGCCTCTCAACAATCGACACTTTCTCCTTTTTCATCAGCTCCAATTCCTCAGACAGCTCCGCAATTTGATGCTACAAAAAATCAGAATGACTAACATGTTGAACTAGGATACACTTGGTCTGCGAAACAAAAAACCTGCTGCATCACAAGCCTCTTGTCGCTTTCCTTGAAGAACAGACTACGAAGGCAGCCACGCAGCGACATCGCTGCTCAAACAATGAAACAGAAACCAGCTGCTGCAGCATTAACGTTTCACACATTTAAATGTGACGCTTTGCATATTCAAATTTTTGTGCCGCAAATTTTTGCGTTGAATACGAGGGAAGCAGAGAGTGAAATGGACCGATTTATTCAATCGCATGCACAAAGATAAGCGGATCTCAGAATAAAGTGGGTCTCAGAATGGAATGGAATCCAAATGTTAGCCATTGCATCGTTAGCGAGAGAACCCGTGCGATAAAATAGCAGCTGTTCAAAGTGATGAAGTTAATCAGATTTTCTAGTAAAGTGGGTCTGAATAAGGGAGGATGAAAACGAAGACACAATCGACCATTAAAAAACAGAAATATCATTAGTCACGAAAACTGAGAATTGATGACTTTAGTGAAAAAAAAAAAAACGCTTATCCTACGAATAAAACTTGATAAATGATAATGAAATACAAATGAGCAT